GACAAAGTCTGTACCCGTTTTCAAACCAAAACGGCCCAAAACCCTGCCCTTTGGGGCGACACAAAACTACCGTAAAATTCCGAAAATAAGACCTTCCATGTATAAACCCCTGCAAATATAAGCCCCCCAAACTCATAACGCAAAACCCCCCTGTTAAATCGCCCCTCCAAATATAAGCCCCCCCCCGGGGGGGCTTGTACCTGGAAATTGCCCTCAAATACAAAGTAAAACAAATCAAAAACGGTAAATTTCCTTCCAGCTATAAGGCTAGCCCAATCGATTTTGAAACACAAATTTCCCTCCGAATATAGGCCCCTCCAAAAATAAGTCCCTCAAAAAGGGTCTTTGAAAAATATAAGCCCTGGGGCTTATTTTCGGAATTTTACGGAAAGTGTCTATGTGGCTTATATAAGAAAGTATTCCCCCGGATGTAAGTTCCTGTTCGATTCCCGGGCAGATCAAAATACGCGGTCTTGAAATAACTACTACAAAAGACATTGCTACCCTTTGCTGCGACAATTGATTGGACCAGGATTTTACCTTTATAAGTCTTCTCGGATAAAGAAAACAACTACGGGCCTAGCTCACAGCGTATAATTTTAGTTGCTGTAAGACCCTGTAAAGTATTTTTTTTAAACATAGGTCTGGATGGACCTGAGGAAGGCTAATTATTGGCTTCTAATAAATTAGCTCTTTGCCGTATTACCAGCCTTGCGTTCAGTATATTTTGTTTTGATTTTTCTAGTCTTCTAGTGTCACCTGGCTCCGGCAAGAACGAACCGGTGAGTTTTATTTAAGTGTTGTGTTGATCTCTGTACGTATTAAAAGGTTTTTACCCTTAGTTTCCGTAAGATCACAGTTTGGGAGACAGCACCGACCACGCTTGTGTCCATCTTTATGACTGGATTGGATAGTGAGGGTATCTCGAGACATCATGGGATCTATGAGTCCCATGTTCATCAGTTATCCCCCTTGGAGGAAAAAAAAACAGACAAAAAAAATACGTGTCTTAGGCAAAAAATAAAAATTTCTTGATGTTCACCCAAAATACGTGCAATTAAGGAAAGGGCGCGTAAGCGTATGAAAATAGAGATCCTAAGGGGCACGCGGAGTTACCCTGTCCTTCCCTCTCGCGGACCTCTTATACATTGATCCCATTTTGCTACACAAATAAAAACAACTAATTGTACAAACTGGTCAAAAACACCTCCTGTCCAGCATCAAGAATGACCCCATTTGTCTATAAAATAAGTCCTCTTGGCATTAAATAGCGCTTGTGAATTAACTCCTGAGCTATTTTACCTCTCGAACCTAGAAATAAACGTTTCACCAACGTATTCAATATAGTTGAAGTACCTGCAATTAACCTTTTTTTCGAAAAGCAGCATTTCAAACAATTTTTTTATTTCATGTTTTCTGATGTTTTCTCATGTTGACGTTTTTTAAAAAATCTGTGCCTCCAAGTATTGCGTGACGATTATGGAAATTTCATACGATCACGTCAACCCAAGGTCAGTGTTATTTTGAGTTGATCGTATCTTTTGCTGACGGTAAACTAAGACTAAATCAAAATTATTTTGGGAAATTCCTGCAGATAATTAAGGCCGTTTTCACTTCAAAATAGTAAAAAGCGATGTGAAACGTCTGGTAGAATCTCAAGCAGGAGAGGAAAATACGGTACGTCGGTCTACATGATAGTGCGGAACAGTGCACTTCACATAATTATTTCAGATGGATTTGAGCTCCTGGGTGAGTCATATATAAAAGTTCTATATTTTACAGTCTTCCAAATCTGGAGTTAAGAAATATCACTATTTCCCTTTTGTCTATTAGGTATAGCAGTGAATTTGGCTTCATTGAATATGAACGTTGAATATCAAAATTTATATATTTTGCAGTCTGAAAAATTTGGAAATTAGCCTGTTCCAAGCGTTCAGATAGTGGAGAGCGGTGCGAAGTAAAGAAAGCGATGAAAAGTAGAGAGGGACCTCTCCTCCTCCCTCGCTTTTATTTTTTCGCGCTCCTTTACTTCGCACTGCTCCACACTATCTGAACGCCTGGAACAGGCTATTTGGAAATTAACAAGTACCATAAAGTTTATGGTGTCCATGAGGTAAAGTAGTGATGGATTTGGCATTTTTTTAAGGGTTAAATATGAAAAATACCTTTCATTTAGGCAATCTCAAATCCCAGAGTGATACACGGATGCTTCACATACATTAGGTGGAAAGTTTCAATTTCATGCTATTTTGTCAGCCGTAAAGAACTTTTATACTGGCCTTCAGGACCCGCCTGGCTAATGTAAACATATGGGTCAAGCTGAGATATCATTTGTTAATGATAACAAGGCAATTTTTGACTCCCAAGAAAACGAAAGGAATGCGCTCCCGAATTTAAGACGCTGGCTGACCGGTGTATGACATTTGCAGACTGCAGACTGCACACCGCAGACTGCAGACTACAGAGCACAGATTGCAGATTGTAAATTAAAAGACACTAAAAATCTTCCTAATAAGAGTGACACCATCAAAAATATAACATCGTGTGAAAGTGAGAAAGTAGCCTGGGAACGAGGTTGATATTTTTGCGCAAAGTTACATTGGGGTCATTTCCAAAATGCTGTTGGCTATCAACCTCGTCCCCAGGGCTTTTCCCTCAAAAAATGGGTGGGGCGGGAAAAGGCCCTGGTATCGGCTGGTCACGTGTCTTCTCGTACACCCTAAAATCCTGGGTGTAATAAATTAGCGCCGTGTGAAAAGCTAAAATTATGCGTAACCTCACAGCGCGCGATCTTGGGCGACCTTTTATATCTCTTGACGATTAACGAAAAGTTTGACAAGGTTTCCTTTTTGTCACAGATACTGGCCGTGGTAATTTTTGCTTTCCTCCTATTTCTATGAAGGGGACAGCGAGCAACATTTGTAAAACTTCTGTTTATAGAGCGGTATAAATGACAAACAAGCTATCGTACGTGCATAAAGGTTGTACTGGAAAAGTCCGCTTTCTCGACTCTTCTGATATTTTATTTCATTTCTTGCGAAGTGGGCCGCCGTACACAGCCTACTTCTATTCACCTTAACTCTCAGCCATGTCATAGCGACACGCGTTGGTTTAGACTTATCCTGTATGACCTGTATTTTTAAAACATTCATTGACCTCTGCGATCAAACGACTGACAACAAAAAAACTTGGGTCTATTAAAAATTGACAGAGCTGTAGTTGATTCCAATCGATCAGTCAATCTTCCCTTTGGTATAAGGAAAATCCTGTGTACTTATCCCCGGAAGAGAAAAGATGTAAGAGTTCTTCAAATGTTTCAGATCGGCGACCTGTCATCGTTCCTGGCTGGAGGGCTGAATTGCATCCGGCGCGGAGATTTGTTTGTTTCATGGTCGGGTTGTAGAGAAGACCAGACTTTATAACGCATTTTGATGAACAATTCTGTTTCAGTTACGTTCAATCTGTTTAAATTCACTGCAGACCCTGAAGGCAAAGGCCGACATTTTTGTTTGACATTGGATAAAATCACTTCCCGCTTGATCGTTCAGTAATATAATTCCACAGTCACGATGAAGTTTAGTCGAAATACTCGTCGATAACAGTGGGACATAACAGCTTGTCTCAACGCTGAAGCATTTGACATATTTTGTACGTGACAACGTAGAGCCGGTCTGCCCTTTCATAAACTTCTAGCATTTGAATAATGCGCAATTAAATGAATCTTAAGCTTTTGAATCGCACACAGGCAAAAATATTGACATAATGTGAAGTATATGAAATAATTCATTTTTTGAACTGCGGTTGTAGATGAAAGTGAAGAATGATCATCGCAGTAAATTTTCCAATTTTAAGCAATTGGAAAGAAGAAGCCTGAAAAAAATCAGGGCTTCAACGGGATTCGAACCCGTGACCTCCGTTCGCGATGTCATTATTTTCCATTGCTCCCATCTGTCAGCGCAAAACCAGCGGGTTGCATATAAATTAGCTTCTCAGGAATATTTAGGCTGTACACGTGACCTGCCGATGCCAGGGCCTTTTCCCGCCCCACCCATTTTTTGAGGGAAAAGCCGTGGGGACGAGGTTGTGATTTGGGGTCAAAATTTCAAATTTCTTTAAACTTTGTACATGGTTAAATGTGACCTGAAAATGATGTTTGTTGGTGTTTTAGAGAGTAATCAAAGTCATTCTGACAAGATATGAAGAGATCAAGTTTGCGCTGCCGCCATGTAGGATTTTTTCCAAAGGGGTTAGCAAATGATTTTGGGCAAAATTTCAAATTTCTTCAAAGTTGGTGTATGTTCAAATTGGACCTAGAAATGATGTTTCTGGATGTTTTAGAGTGAAATTAAAGTGATTTTGACGATATATGAAGATGTCAGATATGATCAGTCGCCATCTTGGATTTTTTCCAAAGGAGTAAGCCTATTATTTTGGGTCACAATTTCAAATTTCTTTAAAAATTTCATAGTCGAATTGGACCTAGAAATCATGTTCGTTGATATTTTCGAGTGAAATTAAAGTCATTCTAACGATATATCACGATGTCAAATATGGTCGGCCGCCATCTTGGATTTTCTCCAAAGGAGATAGGTTATGATTTTGGGTGAAAATTTCAAATTTCTTTAAAGTTTGTTGCAAGTCAAAACTGGACCTAGAAATCAAGTTTGTTGATGTTTTAGAGTGAGATTGACGTCATTCTAACGATATATGAAGGCATCAAATTTGGTCAGCCGCCATCTTGGATTTTTTCCAAAGGGGTTAGCCTATGATTTTGGGTCAAAATTTCAAGTTTTTTTAAAGTTTGTATATGCTCAAATTGGACCTAGAGAAGATATGTGGATGTTTTAGAGTGAAATAAAAGTGATTGTGACGATATATGAAGATGTCAAATTTGATCAGTCGCCATCTTGGATTTTTTCCAATGGGGTTACCCTATGGTTTTGGGACAAAATTTCAAATTTCTCCAAAGTTTGTATATAGTCAAATTGGACCTAGAAATCATGTTTGTTGATGTTTTAGAGTGAAATAAATTAAACTGATTCTGACGATATATGAAGATGTCAAATTTGATCAGCCGCCTTCTTGGTTTTTTTTCAAAGGGGTTAACCTAGGACTTCGGGCAAGATTTCTTCAAAGTTGGTATATCCTTAAATTGGACCTACAAATGATTGGGAAAAAAAAACCTCCCAGTGGCGAGAAAGGAGACTGTACGTAACCACACCAAGTAATAAATATGATTGGTAATTTAATACATATACATTGACAATTAAGTAAGCAACCACACGGGTGGTAAATAAAGATTTTGCATGATTGAAACATTACAAATTTTAAAAATGCCATTGCAAACATGGAAATAATAAATTACTATTTTGACTCTGTTTGAAGACTGTGGGCGTGTATAAAATTATGCATAAAACACAAAGTTACAATTCAAAGGTTTAAATCAATGTAATATAATAAATATGACTGGGCACGTTTGCAAACATGCTGACGATCAGCTTGAATTTTACTGTGTTTCAAGGGACAAATCATAAGATAGAGTTAGACTCACGTTTACGACAAACGGTAAACCTTTAGTTATACCACGTGACCAAGTTTTCCCTGTACCTTATATCTTCACAAAATGTTAGCTTCATCTTCTACAACAAATTACTTAGTTTTCATCTGTTTATTTCCGAATTTGAGGAATTGTCGTCTGGAGTCCACCGTTTGCTGTAAACATAATTCTAATAAGATCAAATACAAATACGACTTTGGAATTTCGAGATAATTTTATCACCCGGTTTTCTGTTTCTAACTAACACTTAAATAGACGTTAAAGATAAGTGCAACAGGTAATTAAAAGAGGCACAAAAAAACCCGTATTAGTCCTCATTCTCGAACTCGCAGTGCAATCGAATTGAAATTTCGACAGAAAAAATGAAATGAGACTTACATCAACGCATTAAGCGACGATACAAACGCATTATTTATACCACCGTTTAGAACAAAAAGTATCCCTGCAAACACGCAGTCTTTTGCCTTCTATCCCCTGCTATTTTCATTCCTACACAGCCTATTTTTTGCTTGTTATATAATTGTGTATCAACATTATATACAAACTGAAGTATAAAAAAGCCAATACTCGGACATGCGAGTAATTCTACAGAGGGATAAAAATTAATGCCTTTTATTCATCAAACGAAATTTTAGTTCCTTTGTACTCTTGTATGTTGCCTTTCCTGGCAGCGTTTACAGGGGTTCCTCCTCTGCCAAAGCCTACAGAAAATAAACACAAAATTAGTTCGTTAAACCTTCTTGAAGACGGCGGGGCGTTGTGTCGGACATTTCGGCTAGATGACTTTAACAACAAGAAAAGATCAGTTTTTTCCTTGTAAATGACAACTAAACTGGGTTAGGAAACGAGTTCCTTCGTTGCCCTCTGGTAAATCACGGCAGGTTATTATATACTTATATAACGTAAAAAACCTACCTCTTCCTCCACCTCTGCCACCGCCTCTTCCACCTCTACCGCCTCTACCGCCACCTCTACCGCCACCTCTACCACCACCTCTAAAACCTCCACTTCCACTTCCTGGAGTAGACCCTCTTGGCGCTGCGAAGTCAAGTCGCAAGGAACGACCATCAACTTGTTTCCCTTCCATAGAGGTCATCGCATCCTGGGCAATATCAACACTGTCAAACTCGACATATCCAAAACTGAAAGAAATGGATAAAATAAGGCTTTGTTAAGTGACAGAGCATGTCGATTTCAGAGGTTCTACACTTCTGGTACTGGAGCAGCTTGCTTTCGGGTTGGAATCATGTAATTCTAATTACTGTATACGAGGGAACCGACAGGAACGTCACTAGAAGAGGGGAGTGGGTATCCAGTAAAGTTAATAGAGTGACCTCATCTTACTACTAACTCCATCTCATGTTTTCGGAAATCAAAATAAACAAAACAAAATACAAAAGACGGGAATTCTCATGGAGATTCCACACAAATCTGGTAGGGTGTTTTAAGTTCCAAACAGCCACTCGGACCGTTAATGATTTGTTTAATGAGGGGATTTGAGAAAACCCAGGGCAAACAACAACTTGAGTAAAGCTCGGTCTAAAAAACAGAGGCTCAAGTGGGCTTAATATGCTCTAATGTTACTTACCCCCTTGGGTTGCCAGTCTCCCTGTCTGTTATAACTCGTGCACTAACACAGTCTGGAAAAGCCCGGCTCAATGAATCATTATCTGTGTCATATGACAGGCCAATGCAGATCAGTGTGTTTGATGGGGTACTTTTTCCGCGTCCACGTGAACCACCGCCCCGGCCCCCACGCCCACCTCCCCTTGGTGAAGCTCTTGATTCTGCCTTATCTATTCTCACTGCTCTACCATCAATCTCTGATCCACTAAGCTCTAGTGCTTTTTGTCCTTCCTCAGGGCTGCCAAAATCTACATACCCAAACCTGGAGTGCAAGAAAAACATAACATTAAACTTATGAATTCTGCAGTTTCATTTTCCATTTTATGTGCAAAGCAAAGTGTGGACCCCATATTACTGCATGAAAATGGTGTAATCCAACTCACAGTTTTGAATAGCTAGCTTTGTCAGTTATAGTCAATAAATAAATGGTGATTTTAAGAAGTGGGAAGGTTAGCAGACTTAATTCTTGAGTGTAGGATTTCCGGGATTAAAAAAATACACAAACACAAAACAATGTTACAAGAATTTTTTAATGAAGCAATCATGCAGGGAAGCAAATAGGGAACAGAAATGAACTAAAAAAACCGATCACAGTAAGGTTACATAGATTTAAGTAAGAGTCCAGGGGTGGAGTCTGATTGTCTAATCTCTCAGCAGGTTATGACTTAGAGATCGCTAAAAAATCAGAAACTTGAATGGCAAGTTTGAAAGAAACCTTGAGGTAGCTAATAAGAATACATTACATTATTTTCCAAACTCAGTAGGTTATATGATAGAGAAAATGATTATTACTGATCTTAAAATGCAGATTTTACCTTTAAATTAAATACCTTTTGTTCACTTTACTGATAAAGACAAAAGGTGAGCTTCAAACTGCTTAATAATACAAGGACTCTCATGACCTGCGTGGTTGACTGATTTTTAGTGCATATGTTACACGTCAAAATTAAAATTAGGTTAAAATTTTTATAATCTAGGTAGATTCTCAATTTTCTTTGTCTCCTTGCCCTAGTTATTCATGGATTAGGGCTAGCAGAAAAAGGAAATTGAGAATCAAACTTGGTTTAAAAATTTTAACCTGAATTTAATTTTGACCTGTAACACATGTATACATGCACAAACACATTTTTGAGTCTCAAGCTACGTGTATTTGCTAAGTGATAATAATTAGTTGACATAATGATCTAAGCATGTTGTGTGACAAAATCAATAAACTAATAACTTACCCTCTTGATGATCCATTAGCATAAGCAATTCTAGTAGAGGTGGGGGACAAGGCATTATCTTCAAAAAATCCTTGCAGTGTTTCTTCATTTGTGTCAAAAGACAGATTTCCAACAAATATGGAAACTGAAATAGCAATACAAGGGTACTTCATGCAATTAGTATTATTGGCTTAGAGCAGTGGTATTTCTACTTAATTTGAAATACCTACATGTGAAAATTACAATCCTTTTGCAGGTAGTAGAATTAACAAATAATAGCAGGATTTGTACACGATATTTGGCATAAATACCACTCGTGATATTTCAAAATTGTCTCAAATTTCACTCGCCTAACGGCTCGTGAAATTACGTATAACAGTTTTGAAATATCACTCGTGGTATTTATGCCAAATATCACTACAAATTATGCTATTACCTATACCTAACAATATTTATATAGGACCCTTGCAGTGGTGGATTCAGATCATTAAGTACATGAGGGGCCTGCTCATCCAGACCCGAAGATATAAGAGTGGGGCCCAGCCGAAAAAAATTTTTACTTGGCCCTGAGGGCCTCCGTTTGGCCTAAAAATAAGGTGGGGCCCACCAACCCATACCATCCGCTAATTCCACCACTGTTGTGAACTTCAGAGGTATCTTTCTTTACTTTTGTGTGTTTCTGTTTAATTAAAAGTATATTTTAGCTTCCAACTAATAATTTAAATAATGCCCTTTTAAAAACTAATAGTGCAATACAGTTTCTCACAGTTCACTTGTAATAAGATAAAAGAAATGTATGGTGTATAATGTTTAAGAATAAAGACAACTTACTTTGTTTTTCAGACCCTGTCTCATCATGCTTCAGTTTCTTGCCTCCAGAACCCTCGTTGTCACCTTCAATTACTTTTCTCTTCTTTTTCTTTTCAACAACTCCCTCAATATCATTGGAAAATTCCTTAAAAGAGGTAATGTTTGTGATTAACCAGTTATTTATTTTTACAGGACATACATGTACTTATATAAGTGTAACATTTACAAATGAACATTCTGCTCCCATCAATCAGCTCAGCTCATATTAAGAAAGTACACAAACTTACAGATTAAATACCACTTATAAACCAAAAGTGCAGTCATTACAGGGAAATCTAAGACTGAGGCAAGGCCGAGGTCTGAGATTTCAATGTTATGAGTGAACAGACGAGGTTAATAAGTTATTTATTATGTAACCTTTTCATTATGGACCTGAGCCTGTGATCAATTAAAATCAATAATTGGTCAGCAGATAACAATTAAAAAACATATCACCTCAATGATTTTTACACCTGAGGCCGTAATACAGTCAAGTCACACTGGTCAGCAGATACCTTTTTGGTAGCTGTCAATTGACCATAACATGGATCTCCTTAAGGATGTCCACTTTGTCCACTATCAAGTTAAACACAGATTGTACATGCCTTGGACACCTAGCTGGTAATGCCTGGTCATTACAAGAAAATAATGCCCGCTTGGCAGCCAATCAGAGCTGAGTGCGCATACTATTGAGGCCATGTAATAACACATAGCATGTTAGTAGGCCCTTAACATACCTTTTTAGCCTTCTTGGATAATTTCTCTGCTACTTCCTCCTCATCTGAGCTAGAATTTTCTGATGAACTTTTTTTTCTTTTTGTGTTTTTCTTCATTTCTTCATCGGACTCATCTGAACTTGATTCCTCTTTGCTTGATTCCTCTTTCTTTGATGCTCCACTGATCTTTGTTGTAGCTGATGCTAGCTGATCCCCATCAGAGCTGGAATCTGATGATTCAGAATCAGACTGTGTTGCTTTTTGCTTGGTTACTGTATTATCCTCCTCATCGGATGAATCTGAGCTTGACTCAGAGGAATCTTTCTTGGGTTTTCCATTCTTTTTTACTGCTGCTTTCTTTGTGATGACCTGTGAGGGTTTGGGGCTTGGTTTCTTATCCTCATTATCAGAAGAATCTGAGCTTGAGTCAGAAGATTCTTTCTTGGATATTTTTCCATCCTTTTTTGTCTCTGCTTTCTTTGTGATGACCTGTGAGGGTTTGGTGCTTGGTTTCTTATCCTCATTATCAGAAGAATCTGAGCTTGAGTCAGAAGATTCTTTCTTGGATATTTTTCCATCCTTTTTTGTCTCTGCTTTCTTTGTGATGGCCTGAGAGGGTTTGGTGCTTGGTTTTTTATTCTCGTCATCAGAAGAATCTGAGCTTGAGTCAGAAGATTCTTTCTTGGATATTTTTCCATCCTTTTTTGTCTCTGCTTTCTTTGTGATGACCTGAGAGGGTTTGGTGCTTGGTTTTTATCCTCATTATCAGAAGAATCTGAGCTTGAGTCAGAAGATTCTTTCTTGGATATTTTTCCATCCTTTTTTGTCTCTGCTTTCTTTGTGATGGCCTGAGAGGGTTTGGTGCTTGGTTTTTTATTCTCGTCATCAGAAGAATCTGAGCTTGAGTCAGAAGATTCTTTCTTGGATATTTTTCCATCCTTCTTTGTCTCTGCTTTCTTTGTGATGACCTGCATGGGTTGGGTGCTTGGTTGGTTATCTTCATCATCAGATGAATCTGAGTCTGAATCAGAAGATTCTTCGTTGGATTTTCCATTCCTCTTTCCCAATGTGTTTTTAGACTGGGGTTTGGTTTTAGGATCTGCATCTTCTTCATCAGAAGAATCTGAACTTGAATCTGACGAGGCTGCTGTGAGTTTTATATCCTTTGTCTTTTTCTTCTCTGTGTCAGCCTTTGAGGGCTTAGTTTTCTGCTTTACAATTTTACTGGAAGATTTTGAACTTGAATCAGAGGAACGTTTACCAGACTTTTTTTCCTTCTTTTCTTCTGACATCTTAGTGATGGGCTGAGAGGCTTTGCCATTTGTCTTTTTGTTTGCATCTTCAGACGACTCCGAACTTGAATCAGATGAAGATGAACTTGGATTTGCTGCCTTCTTTGCCTCAGTTTTCTTTGGAATAGCTACTTTTTCCTTGGCTTTTTCTTCATCACTTGAAGAAGAATCATCGCTCGATGATTGCTCTTGTTTTTGTTTAATCCCTTTGAGATTCATAAGATCTGGTTTGCCTGGTTTAGAACTCTGTGGTACTTTTTTTCCATGTTCACTCTCATCATCAGAGTCCGAGTCAGATGATGATGACTTTGCAGGTTTAGGAGCAGGAGTAGTTGTTACCTTAGCCTTTTTGGTCACTTTCTTGACAGCTTGATCTCTGAATGGGACAAAATATAACAATTTAATGGATCATTGATTAATTATTATTTTGAATTAATTACGCATGTTAATCTGTTATCCCTTAAATGATAATTAGTTTAATAAGTGCAGGTACATAATATATATATGTATGTATGACAAAAAAGTTGCAAGGTTCAAAATAACGACAGCAGGTCACCAAATATTTCTTAGCCCGGACAAACCCCGATTTTGGCCAGTCAAATAATTAATGAATAATATAACTTTTTTTTTTGCCTATGGAATATCGAATTATGCTGGCAGTAGATGGTTGTACTACATTGACGTTGAGGTTTTTGGCGGCAAGTTGGTGAAAAATTCATTTACACGTTGTTGAGTTCCTTTCTGCGATTTTCGCTGTTTTCATGTCTGTTTATATATACCTAGCGTACGGCGGTGTCTGAAGTCTCCAAGGTTCGTCCTATATCTGCATACCATCCTTTTCGTTGCCCGGCAACTGAGGTTACGCCGACGTTCGTTCTCGATTAGCTTTATAGTTTTTATCAGACAATTCTGGAATCGAGTCTGCAAACGAGATTCATGTTCGACATAAAGAAATTATTATAATTAATCGATGCGCTGAAATTTATTCCCGGAGAAACAGTCCAAGACAAGCGATCAATTAGGCCAAATTCTGTTGAAGGTGATATTCACAATCCTCTTACAAGTAGATGTGAAACGTTTAATGGACAAAAACTGTTAGCTATCCTTTAGTTTTCTAACAAATAATGGATTATCGTTAGTGTATGTTTTCCCAAAGAAGGTCACATTACTGATAACAGCAAGGCAGAACATACAGTACGACCTGCTGAATCGTTGAGATACTCTACAACTCAGTTTGTTGTTTTTTCGCTTTGTTGCGTTTCATTACAACATGAAATTTATTGCGGTGTTCTTTTTCTTTAAAGGGTTTTAGTGCAAAGCAGCAAAAAAAGCTAAAGAAAAAAGAAATCATTACAGCGTTATAGAGCAAAACGCATTAAGTGACAACTATATGGAAAATATTATAAAATGTTTGCATCCAAAAATGACCAGTCAAAATGACCGGCAAGACGAGAGTTTGACCGGTCAAGCCCTCTATCAGGCCGGACATTGTCCATTGACCGGCCGTTATTTTGAGCCCTGAAGTTGTAATCTGATAAAATAATAATTTGTTTTTTAAATGGATCTTTCACTCATGAACAGTGAGCCTAATGTTAATTGGTTAGACATCTAATTAAATTTATCTGCACATTCAGCTAGAACAACATTTTAAAATATACCTTGTTTGCTCATCTTCATCTGAACTTGAATCCTACAGCAAAATAATAGTTATTATTAGTAGCTGCATTTATTTAGACTAGAGATTTTGCCTCGCTATCATGACATAAAAGCAGTTTGCTAATGGTTTGGAAACTATGTTTAATCGAGTCTGAGAATTTAACTCACCTCAGAATCTGAAGATTTTGTCATTGGTTGCAGCTTTTTAACCTTTTTGTGGTCTTTACTTTTCTTGACATATAGGTCATGAACTTCTTTTGTTCCATTAACCACACCCTTCTTCTCTTTATTCACTTTCTTTTCTTGCACAGAGGTTTTCTTAACCTATAAATAAAACAAGTAAAGATATATGAGGCACGGTCATTATAGAGCTAGTTATACACAATTGGAGTTGACTTTTTAACCCATTTGTCACTACAGTTTTTGCCTTTAAAGCAACAGCTGTAGATGAACTACTCTTTTCTGACTGCTACAAATCAAAGAAAAGACAACTGCAAAACTTTGCTACAATGTACATCAATATATGCTCACACAAACACAAACTTAACCCTGAACTCCACTTAACTCATTTTAACACCAGAGAAGGAACAATACCGAAGACACAAACAGTAGTATAAGGCATGGGCACATTTACAGACCCATGCATGACACACAGCAAAACGGTAACTATTTCAACCCATTGAACAGTGATACCTTGCGCTCAAGGCTCCGACCCAATTCCCTGTCTGTGAAGGTAAAAAATTACTTTATGTCAATTATTTTTGTTCCGGGGGGGGGGGACTGGCATATATGGGCTATATAGGTATGTGCCGCTGTGAAGGGTATGGTTTTCAAGCAGTTTACCCTAGCATAGGGTATATAAATCAGAGCGTTTGGGTCTAGAATAGGGTATCATTTTTCACGAAACTGATCAGCTGGTTGAAGATTTTGTCTAGACTAGGGAAACAGCTACTCTAGGATAGGGGGGATTTGGGGAGATTACTCTAGTATAGGATTGCAAAATTCAGCTGAACTAGCTCTGGTATAGGTTAAGGGTTCCAGGGTCCCAGCGGCACATCCCCACCCAGAAATTACTCAAGTACCCCCCCCGGTTTTTGTTTGACTGACCAACAACTGTCCAGTGGCTATTGGTCTGTTACTTCAAGCCCTGCTAAGTATATTTACGAGCTGTTTGCAAACTGAAAGACCGCATGTCATTGCTTTTACCCTGTCATGATTTACACGATTAAGGTACATCATTGCAGGCTCCTCTCGTCGCCCACAATCCTAATCTCCAGGTTGTTATTACACACGCGTCACATGTATGTAGCTAGTATTCAATGGGAATTCCCTTAAGAATGTATGGAATGCACAGAATGCACTTTGATCATGCGCATTAGGACCTTCTATCACTCGTAATCTGACCACACGTGTTTAAACCACCTGTCACGTGAAACTTACACAAAGCACAGCACTGGAGCAAAAGCGTTTTGACCTTTGATCGTTGTCGCCCGCACTCCTTAACCTTTGGTTATTACTAATCGGTAATATATCAATTTCACGGCAGAAAGCCATACTTGTTAGACATGCATGTAGTACTTACTCTGATAGTTTACTTTAGTCAAGCCATGGTTTGTTTTTTAATCTTACTTACTCGCTCTTACAGAAATAACTGGACTAAAAAGTACACGCAATGCACTTAACAGTTCTTAACATCTGATTTGCGATGCACTTCCTGTTTAGCTCTTCGCAAAAGCTCAAAGATCTCGATAGCTTATTGCGCAATTTCAACCACGTGGATGTGTCGAGTAACTGAATTTTACTTTTCGATATGAACGTAAGTCTTAAAGAAACTACCCACGTATTTGAAGTCCATCATCTTAGTTCAGATTTTGGACTAGATGAGAACTCAAGTCAATCCACACTCAATGAAAACACAAAGTAATCGATAATCGTTTCAAGAAAGTTATCAAAGAGAATGCATCATCAATGTTGCCAACGAGGCCGGCTGAAAATTTGAGCATAGATGCAACCTCTTTTACAAAAAAAGGAAAATGTGAATGTTGATTTACATACCTTATTAAGACTTTCCTTCTTTGCCATCTTCTAGAGTATTTAATGTTCAAAATAGTAAAGTTTCTACGCCACGTGCAAAAACAGAACGACACCGACCGACCGAAGACTCCAGAGAGTTGGCAGCGTTTTAGTCACCAGTCTTCCCTCGTTTAGATTGAATTCAGCGTAGATTGGGTACGACAAAAAAAACATGGCCGAACAGATGATATATTCACTTGCAGTGGTAAACAGTGTGTTTTATTATGAGCAAACAATATTTTTCTAACCTGTAAGCACTAATGGAAAATGGATGAAGTTGTAGCCATAGAAGGGGAATTAAATGCTATTGTTAAGGAGGTAGGCATGAAATGGATTACTTCATGACCAATTTCAACTCTAATTCGGTATTGTGTATGCCTAACCTTGTTTCCTTAGCAATATGAAGAAACGAAGGAAGGAGTCATGGATGACAACAGACGTACCCTCTTACAATTTATATAAACATGTGAACAGTAAGCTCGGACGTCAGCATAGAAAGGCGGCAGTGGCAGCCGCTATCGGTCCATTTTTTATGAGCTTACAGCCTATCCAACCCGTGACTGATGTGACTGATATGTGAAGGTTGGCCTCAGCACCGGGGTCTACATCCTCTACTTTTTTTGAACAGTGGTTTGGGTTCTTTTTCCTCCCACAAGAACTAAATAAGTGAAGTGCTCTGAGATGGAACCTACAGTTTTTCGACCTTATTAGAGAAGACTAGAAAGTCTAACCATTTGCAGATGTCATCACAAAGGCAGAACTTTCTTCTCAGTAATTTGAAGACCCTGAGTGTTGGTCTGGCCGAGGTTCGAACCCGCGACATCCTGCTGAGCAGAGCGGCGCACTCCCAACTGAGCTAACGGGGTGGTGGTATTAAGATATTGGGCTTGATTGCATTAATCAAATTGTGTGGATATACCTTTGCAATGGTAATGCATCATTCAATTCCACCTGTGCCCAGCCCCTCCCCCCTCTGGGCTACTGCAGGGCATTTGCCCGCCTTGTCAGTCCCAGGGGTGGGACATTTGTAAATTTTGCACTGCCCGGGGCCATTCCCAAGTTTTTGACACTCATGCAGTTTCCTATCAGAATGTAACTATCCACAGAGGGTTTTACTGAAAAAACAGGCAGATTGGCTCATCTGTCAAGGACAGGAATAAATTGAAGACGGTTGTAAAGGCATGTTCTCAATTTTATGCCTGCATTTCTTCATTGCTTATCAAGCCAAAATTACGTAGCGAAATTGGAGCTATCAATGTGAATCAATGTTTTTTGGTTATTGAATCAAATTTCTGTTGATATTATTTGAAGAACATCCTTTCATATTTATAAAACTATTCATAACATATAACTTTACAGCACTCTAGTAATTTTAATGTCAATAATTTTATATCAGTACTAAAACCATCAACTGGTTCATGTCATTGTTAGAATCGTTAGAATCCTATCACCATTACAAAGGAAGACATTAATAATATTGAAACAAAAAATCGCACATTAAAATGCTTAAAATGGCACTATTCGACTGTGCGATCAATGAAAAATGTTACAGTGTTGATGGAGGACGGGGCATTTGCCCTCTTTTTTCGTCCACACCCTGGGGATTTGCAAAAAAAATGCCAATGCTTGGGGGTCACCCAAGGGGGGAGGGGGGTGCTGGGTGCAGGTGGAATTGACTGATGCATAAACTGTAAACATATTTTTTACTCCAAATTCTTAGTATCTGGATTTTCTTGGCTACTCAAGAACATCATCAACATTTGAGGGAGAGTTAGGATCACTAGGAAAGCAACTGAAAAATGAGACAACTTCACCCAGGAATGACTCCCAGAAAAATGATATTCAGGTACAGATTAGGGACTGTACATTATTATAGCTTAGGAGGGGCGTGGGGATTTTTAAACCAACTCAAGCATTTTAGAAATGTAGCCCTCCCTAAAGTGTCTTTATCCGAAACTTACCCCCCTCGTATATGCAACAAACCACAAATCCCCCCCCCCAAAAAAGAAGAAGACACACAAGGAACAGCTATTTGTTACAAGGTTTATATTCCTGTAAAAGCAGGAGTTAAGCTAGTCCTAGAGTAAATATTATCAAGGTAATTAATAAAATTGTGATGTTTTGAAATAGATACCACTTGCCAATAAACCACAGTTGAAAGTAATGCTATCCATTATCCTCCGTGTACAAGTAGGATACATTTGCAGAGCTGGTAGGCTTAATGTGGGTCCAGAGAAGATCAGATTTGAGGGAGAAAACAATGAAAGCTGGAAAGCTGTTTGTAAAGGCTAGATGTGTACACACTGTTATTGGAACACAGAAACTTAGAGCCTGAGTTACTGACATGTACTGAGTTCTATAGTAAATACCAAATTGTAAGTAAGCTCCTTTCTTTTCCTCTTTCATTGCAGCAGAAAATGATGGTGGCCTTTGAGAGTGGAAGATGTACTGAATTCTTCAGAATGTGGAACCAATATGTGCCAGATGATTTTCAAGAAAATGATCAGATATGTCAGAAATTACATTTCAACATCAACATTTACTTTGCAATCTATCCTATTACGCATGGTAACCAGGTACTCCGTCAGTTATCATAATGATGTTTCTAGTTCTATGTAGTGTAGGAAAAAGTGCCGGCACTCTTTAATAGTAGCAGTAACAATAGAAGTAATAACATGTTTTGTGTTGCGGTTCACATTTTCCTTTGGTTTGGAAATTTTCAAAACAGTTTTGATTTGTGTTTTTCTTTTGTCAGTCATTATCATTATTATGTTTTGAGTAGAAAGAAATGAATAATACAGAAACAGAGATCAAAATTTATAGGAGTCTATAATATAGGTGGCGGTTTTGTTTGAGAAGTGCAAAAATGTGCTGCAAGCCATGAAAAAGGGCCATTTAATTAAATAAACAGCAAAAATTAAGGAAAAATTGAGTGTTATTTGCACACTCAATAAAGAAAACCCCCAGCTGCTATGCAGGCTTAATATGAAAAGTAACAAAAATAATAATTTGAAGTGTGGTCAGTTTAACTACAATACAAATGACAATTCAGTGAACTTGTTTATTGTGATTCTTCTTACTTCTTTTTTCTTTTTCTCTTGTGATTTTCTTAGGACAGGCAAGAACTGGAAAGGTCAATGCAAGTTTTTAAGGGTTACCTTGAAACTAAAGGATCTGCATTAAGCCAAACAACAGAGTTCCTTCCTTACTATGCACTGCCATATATTCCAGATCCTACATCTCATCCATCTTTCAAACCCCTCTTTGTGGTAAGTCACCAGTCAGTGCTTGGCAGGGTTTTTGATAGAATTACACATAGGTGTTAGCAGATGTAGAATGGTGTAGATCCTAGAGGCTGTTATTTTGCCATTAATCCAGACTTTCATAGTGTTCAACTTAAAGACAAAAAAATGATTATATAATTCTACCCTACTCTATCCTACCCTCTTATAGATTATGTATACTAATATTAAAATAGGCACTGATGCGCCTTTATTTTTGGTATTAGTAATATGTCAGGCATTTTAGTAGAAAAGGTGTTCAAGAGAAGAACAGAATGCTTGCAAGGATCTAGTTTTGTGTGTTTTATATGTTTTGTTATTTTAATTCATGTTCAACTTGCTATGTACAGAGCTCATGGAGTTTTGATCTCAAGAACAAAGTACAAGATTTTCTAGCTTCTACCCTTAAATCCCAAGAAAAGCCGAAGCTGTTTACTTTGTACAGAGAAAATGTAACAGAAATAGAGAGAGAAAGGAAACTATATAGTGAACAGCTAAAGAAATTGCAAACTCAACTAACCAGAAGAGAGCAACGATCATCACAGTATCAGAAGAGATATTCTAAGATACAGGTACTGCATCCTTCTTTAATAGAGAAGATAACTGACTCGCCTAAGCCACCCCTCCCCCTTGGCTTAGCTTACCTTATATCCTAAGTACTGTTTCTTAACCATCAGCTATCGCTATGATACAGTACTTAGAAGGGAAGAAGGGAAGTGCTATAATTATTGTAATAAAGGAGAAATTTATCTTTAATTCTTTGATGTGGAAATTAAACCTTTTTGGAGAGACAGGTCAGTGCAGGAAACAAGACTTCTGGAGATGAGAAAGGTGTGAGTGAAACAATGCTTGTATAATAAAGTCCTATATCACTTACAGTATATTTATAGAGGGAGATAATAATATTATTCTCTTTCACTTCTAGTTCCTACCTGTTGTATTTCCCTTTGTAGGCAGATTATCACAAACTCATAGGTATTGCTGCTGAACTAGTGGACTCACTGGAAGATACAGTCCGTGGTAAAATGGTAACCAACAGTTTTGTGACTAGTTTTGTCAAGTTTAAAGTTAAATCAGTGGTGGATTCAGATCTCTAAGTAAGTGGGGTGGGGTGGGGTGAGGCTGCTGTTCCAGACCCTAAGATAAGAGACGAACTAGCTGACCTTGAAATGTTTTTCTTGGCCATTCAGGCCTCAGTTTAGCCTTAAAATAAGTCCATTGGGTCCACCTTTATGTGGCTAAATATGCATATTTTTGTTGCATTCTGGTGTAACAGTTAATTAAAAGTTCTAATTTGGAATTTTTTCTTAAAATGAAATGAAGCATGATTTAGTATCAGCTCCTTTCAAAGCAACATTCAATTTTTCTAATAATCTCCTGCAATGTAGATATAAGCCTGCCACATTGCCAAATGCATTACATATTAAGCACCAAGATGTTACACTGTCACTGACACACACTAATGTATCTTACTAATTCGGTGAACGAAGTCAGTAGTGACCAATTTTGTTGTTATTTTGTTTTGGCCAGGTGACACCTGAGTATCTTCAAAACATTTGTGTTAGACTGTTTGCTCCCTCAAATGGAGAATCAGTTGACATAAGCAAACCAGGGACGGTGAGCTGCAATTATTAATAAATAATTTTGTAACTAATGAATGTAATGTATCTTCATTTTTAGCCATTTCTGAAAGCCCAGAATAACTGCTCTTGAAAGAAAAGTAATATGCCTAAAGAAAGGTTGGATGGAACAATATATAACAAAAATATAAAAGGGAGACTATCATTACACAATAATGTTTGTCACTGGTAACTTAGGACAGTAAATTAATTACCACCTTGTGTAGTTTTTGATCTAATATCAAGAATTTGTTCCTTTTTTTAAGGCAAGTTCAATACTGAGAGCATCTTTGGCATATGATGAGCTACCCAGGTTGGGTATTATACTGCTGTTTATAAATGACAATAGCTCAAGCCATGAGATCTAAAATACCATATAAAGTCATAGCCTTGTGCTGTTTAACTTGTCTCTAAGCTCTACATGGTCACATGTATGTCATTACCAGCTCAATCAATAGGAAGTTAACCTAATGTTTTTATTACCCAGCATTACTTTTTACAATAGTTAAAATGAAAATCAGGTTCCAGCTTTTTTGTGAACCTCTCCTAGCAAATGTTTGCTCACAAACTTTTTATCCCTGGTTCTGTCACCAGGACTTAAACCAATTTTTACCTTGCAGTATGTACTTTAGACACTGCCTTAATAACATTTACCGCTGAGTCAGAAAATTATTACACTTCTTGTACTTATTGCAAAATTACTGTTATTCCTCAAAGTCTTGAAACCATCAATATTGCCACTAACAGTAATTCAGCAGATTTTTCATGTTTTTCATTTAACATTCAGACTTGCAGAAAGTGTTGATATTCCGTACAAGCCGTCTCTTGACTATGACAAGATAAAAACAGATCTGCTTACTTTACCTGAGAGAAAGAGGGCATTTCTTCTACAAGCCTTAAGATGGGTATGCTGTGAAATTATTGAACAGAACAAACAAGATTTATTTTTATTTCTAATTGATTCTTAATTCATTCTTTCCTTCTCCTTATTGTTTTACAGAATCTTACCCAAGCTATTACTAATGAACAACGAGACAGCATTGTTAATACATATGTTGTCCATGACATTCTTGGCTGCTCTGTTGCTGGCCATGTGAGGGTGAGATGTATTGAGTATGTATTTATGCCTGTTGTAATTTACTCCGTCTGTGTATTCTTTGTGTATATGTGTGTGTACCCCTTCTATTTTTAGCACAAGTGTCATGTGCAATATATTTAACCATCAACTGCTACAACTGCAATTATTAAAAGAAACAACTGTCCGTAATGTTTGCATAACAATATTCTCAGATTGAGTGTGATCCTTGTGATCATGATGTGATAGTGGAATTAGATCTTCTAAACAGCCAAATGCAGCAGTTCCTGTAGGGATTGTCTATGCCAGTAACTATTGTTTGTTTGTTTGTATGTTGTTTTTTTATAGAATGGAATATTAGATATTTTGACTTCCCCAAGTGAGATGTCCAGACAGTATTTGGCAAGGTTGTTTAATGCCCTTGCATCACTTTCAGCAGGTGATTCAGCACTTATCTAATGACTAATTTTATTGTTAGCAATAGTAATAATTATTGAAATTGTGAGGGTGACTATAATATCAAAGGTAATATACAACTATCCCCCGAAGGGGAGATGAATAGTGTTGGATATATACCAAGACGCAAATTTACCAAATCAGTTGGGTAAAACTGAAAAAGGAACTTTTTGTAAATTAAAAACATCACTGTCTTAGAAGGAACTTTGTTTACAGTTTACAAACATTTGGAGGATTTTGTCCAGTGCATTTTACGATTTTGTTGCAAATTCAGCATGAAAATAATTTTCTACCTACCAGTGAACACTGACAAGCCAAATTAAAGTTCGTCGTTTTCTTGGTATTAATTTTGTTTTTTACGACTGGTTCATGTATTGCACAAATGTCATCTTCCAAAAAATATGTATCGAAACAAGACGCCATTTTGGATCCATTTGCAAAGCAGTGAATAACAACGGACATTCTGTGTTACGGGAACCAATCAAAGCGTGCAAAAATTGTTCTTTATTTCACTGATTTGGTAAATACGAATGATTATTGTGTAGATTGAGGAAGCTGTTATTTAATTAGCCTGGGGGATAACAACCTCCAGTCAATATTGTTTTGGTTCAGGTGTTGGAGACTACAGGTTTTTTTTTTAGTATTGGTATTATATGCATCATGGCTTGATGATCTGTGAGTTGCAGTTTATGCCTTCATAAATCAATGATTGGTTCTCTTTCTTCAACTTGTTGAAATTCATGTGATAATTCATGCATTTCTTTTTCCTTATAGGTCGCTCTTACCTAGCACATAACCCATCCCTTGTATATGCCTTGCTGACAGCACTAAAAAAGGAGCCCAAAACATCTCTTACCAGTGAAAATATCTTGGGAACCTTGCAAAAACTTAGTCTTAGGTGAGATTAAATTGATTACTTAATATGTACATTAAGGATGAGCTACAAGACCTCATGGCAATGAAAGTGAAGATATGAAATATGTCTAGCTTCCTTCAGGAAGGATGCTGGCATGGGGAAATATTGGGATCAAATTTTCACTGTATTTCGGAGCTCCTTCAAATTTGTTTAGATAAGAAAGTTGTTCAAGTTAGTTCCACACTACAAGTTATTCACCTTGTAACCCACTGCATAACTCAAGTTGAGAGGTGACTCACCAAAGTAGCAGCAGTCCCAGTGGATACACAGAACTGATGAAATAATATGTTATATAACGACTGTCATACTTACAGAGGTTTACAATGGCTCTGAAGTCTGTGTGAAGATGACTCTCCCATCTAAATTGCTTAAAAGGGATGGTATCTGCACACAGGGTATGACTTTGTTATAGATAACAAACAAATATTCCTGTTTTAGACGCCAAATGCAGTCAATCATGATTGAAGAGGATTTGATTCAGTGGTTGTCGCAGCTGTTGACAGATCATGACAACTTGTCAGATTACTCTCTGGAATACTCTGTTGCATTGCTCATGAACCTCTGCTTACGTTCTGCTGGTAAATTTTTAATAATTCTAAAATAATGTTGCTTAGTTTAGTCAGAGTAGGAAGACCAATGATTCCTTTTAGTTGATATTATGTCAAATAAGTGTCACTGTTGTGTATTTTTAAAAGCACTCAAAAGCTACCAGGTTCACTTCCAGTTAACGAATCAAAATGGACTGGTTCTTGCATTAGAATCACCATATACTACTAATTAGGTTGTAGTTTCAAAATACAGCTTTGAATTGCTTCTGAGAAACAGAGTCTATAGGGAGTTGTGATGGGCACTGTGTTTAGAGGTGGGCCATGAACTCAGTTCCATCCACTGCCCGCCCTGTTTATAAACCTGGCATTTTCTCAGGATGATAATATAAAATGTGCAAAGTATGTAGTAATATTCAAACTAATGCATTTTCTTAGGAAAGAGGAGATGTATCAATGATGCTGCTCACATCCTTCGTGTGCTAAGTGATCTTTTAGGACATGAGAATCAAGAGGTAAGTTTAATTCAATAGCTATAAAACCTGGTTTATTTTGGTAATGCAGGTCAGCGTTGACACATTTTCTGTCTGCCATCTTTCTGTAACCCAATGAATTACTCTAAACTATTTTTAACTTGATTGCAAAAGTCATTATCATTTATACCACAACAGATTCGTCCGTATGTGAATGGGGCTTTGTATAGTATTCTGGCATTACCAGCTGTGAAGGAGGAGGCAAGAGCCTTGGTAAGCTGCTGCTGCTGCTGTTGCTTTGCTAATGAGTTAACCCTTAAATGGTATTGTCAAACAGGCGCCTGATTAAAAATAATTAAATTCTAAAGTTCTTTTCTGACCCTGAATCATAGGCGTTTAAATTTCCTCAAATTTGCAGAATTAACAGGTTTTAGTTCCCCTTACAATGTGTTACTCTTATTGACCGCGGATCTTGGTCATAAACATAATCTCTGAGAATGACAAGTCACTGATTCACAGGAGGATGTCCTAATATTCATTTAATTCTGTCACTGAAGATCGTAAATTAATGGACTTCTGTATCTCCAAAAAGCACTTTTTACGAGCCTGAAGTTACGCTTTTTGATAATTGCACATTGAATTCCCTCATTGAAAACAGCTCTGAAATGTGGCTCATTGTAGTTTTTCCCATAAATGGAGATGTACGTTTCAAGGACAATCTTGAAGTGATTGTTGCCACTGTTCAATTCGTTCTTACAGGGAATGGAAGAGATCCTTGAGTGTTTCCTTAAAGATGACAATCCGGATATGACCAGACAGATCCAATTTATCATCAAACAGCTTAACTCTGGTTAGAACATTATAATGCATTACTCAAGTGCTTTAATCGTAACCTTTATAACGTACTGTTTCGGTGCGGGTAGCGGTTACTGCAGTGGTTTGTTTTTCTGATACTGATATAATCCCTCAATCCCTGTCAGATGTTGCAGTGCCCTGTGGGTTCCAGGCTCCGGGTCATTTTGTGGAAAAGCAAGCGCGAGAAACAGAAAATGTTCTTGAATGTTTTGTTTTTTATCTTAGAGCCTAGAACAGGCTAAATGTTGTTGCGAAGAACGTGGTAGGTGCTTAATACTCATTGTCTAAGGTAGCCCGAGAGAATTAATCTCTATAAAAACTGTTTGGTATTTTTGCAGATGATCCATCAGCCACAAATACACCAGAATCTGATGATGAAGATGAGGAAGATGATGATGATGTGAGTTTATAAGATGATCGTGATACTTCAGGAAATTCGAGTAAGCCTGTGGCCTTTCCAGTCACCGTTCGCTCTGACAAAGGGTTAGCTACGCGCAGACCGCCAGCCTCTATCTCTGGCTCCACGGTGGCCAGTTTACTTCCATTACCGACTGACTCAGTTGATAAAACAAAATTCTGGAACGTGGGGTACATTTATTTTAATGAAAGATTGTTTTATTAAGTAAAGTTGGTAAATTGTGTTTCATACAGGAGGGCGACGCCATTGATGCAGAGTTAGATAAACAAGAGATTCTTTTGGCGACTGAAGGAGAACTGTGTGGAGAAGAGTTACTTATTGCTCATTATTCAACGGTGAGCTCAAAAACTTGTTTACCTCAGTAAATGTTACATAAACTAATCTTAGCAGTATTTGATGTTAGATGGTAAAATATAGCGGTCGAAGTTCCCTCAAACCCGGGATACCCTTGGGAATCTGACAAACTGTTCGCAACCGGGTACTGGTTCAGCTTGCGGAAATGGTTGCCTGTATTAAAGTGGAGACTCGAAACGGGTTTTTACAAGTTAAGGCGTCTGTAAGTACCACTTTCCCCCACTTGCGCGAGTTTCCGTTATGGGAACTTTGACCGTGGCATGGTCTTTAATCAACTGATAAAAGACGTCTATATGTTAGACGGACTTAAGACGAAATAAGAACTGGATGTGTAACAAATTATCCATCATGTTTTGCGACACAAAACAACAAGAAATCAGAAAGTTGTTTGTATATTAAACAATTTTCGCTCTTGGATTTTTCATTGCTTTTAAACAGAACAACAAACAATCTGATGAGCTGAAGAGCAAGAAAAAGGTACCTTGCAGGTCATTTCTCTTTTGTACACTGAATAAATGGCAAAATATCTGAGTTTTTTCGTTACAAAGTTAACTTTGCAAGTTACAAGGTTTCTTGCTTTTAATGATGAGGAACGAATGAACGGTTACCTTAAAAGGAAATTAGTTTCTCAAGTAGACGAAATTATCGAGCTACATAAAGCTGGATTTCGAGCCAGGCGTAGCAAACTAGACGAAAAACAGTCACGATATAGTCCATTCATTGCCAAGGCTTGTAAGGAAGGCTCCTTTCAGGGCAGCCGTTGTTGTCGCTTACGGCTGGGAGACAGTTTTTGCGACGAGTCAATGTATCGTCGAGTTGAAGATAAGCTTTTAAAAACTGTGGCCTTGTTATGCAGATCGAGAGCCGCCGTTCGCAGAGAATACATGTCTCTTGCCTACTGCACGAACGAAGCGATGTACCGCCGCTGTTTCTATTTTCATCTGCTACATTATGAAAACTAACAAGTCAAGTGTTCAGAACTAAAATTGGGCAATAATAAAATAGTCCATTTTTAAAAACACATTGCTTTGGTTTTGCGTGTAACATTAAAAAAGTTGTTGCCTTTGCGCTATTTTAGGCAAATTTACTACTAAGTTCTGCATTAGAAACTGAAAGTAACTGCAATAAAGATAAAAATCTTTTATTCCTTTCTAGATTTCAGTTGGTCGTGATCATCCCTTAACTAGGCCAACTACTCCAGGAGTAAGAACATTAGAATCATTTCAAGGCGAGTATTATGATAATTACAATAGCCAGTCCAATATTCAATATGATGTACGATGTACATTCAACATAGACGAAACTAAAAACTAAATAACTAACAGTCCATTGTTTTATTTTATTATCAGAACATGTTTCCAGACCAACAACTTCAACAATGGAGCCGTCACGGCCTGAACAGCAGGTGTGTGTTGGTCGGACTGTGCATCAGTCGCTTCTAAATTGTCCAGCAAACTTTAATTCCCCTCTTGGCCCATTCGGTCTCTCCAGTCCAACCGAGCCTTGAGTCGACTGGCTGAAAACTGGGGACTTCCCTTATGTCTATACCAAAATCACGGGGTGACTCCATAAACTGAACGGCTGTAAAGATATATATTGGTGTTTCCTCAATTCAATTGCCGAAGAAGCTTTGCGTAGTCATTGCATTAAATTTAACTTTGATGTTCTTCAAGGATTTTTGCAGACTATATGAAATATAGTTATATGAAATACTTGACGTGGTGCTTCATCCCATAACCAGGTCATTGCTATGTCGGACGGCAGCGGATGATAATGATAGCTCAGTGTTTTGATTGGTTTCAGGTGCGACCTTCAACGTCATCTAAATCAAGGAGGGCGCCTGAACCGACATCAAATGCAGCAGCGGCAGGAGCAGACGGTGAAGCTTAATTTATTTAAACATTCGTTCCTTTTCACCGTCTAACTTGTGCACCACACTGAATTAATATTATGCAATAACTTGCAATGTTTATTTAAAAATAGAGATTGTACACGTTGAAAATAAGTGGCCTAATTCAGGTCATCGTAACTGAAATTATGATTATTATTATTAGTATTATTAGAAAAAAGCGATTAAGCACCTTTTCTCAACCAGTCAGAAACAAACAAATAAGGAACTTTAGCTTAGTAGGACAAAAAGTTATTTGAATGCCCACGCTGTTTTTGATGACGACTATGGTTGTAATGAATCACCCTTTACAAAAATGTTTACGCCCTCGACCATCAACTGCGTGGTAAGTTATATTAGATCTTTTGTGTATCTCTGATGGCATGGGTTTACGGCTTTTAGCCAAGCTGCACTCCCTTAGGCCCGTTGTGGCCTATTTCTCCGAAATGAGATTTTTTATTATGTCGACGAGGAACGGTTTTGGCACCATAACCTTATGTCTCTTTTCCTTTCAGAAAAACCTCGAAGTGCAGCGAAAGTGAGTTACTACTGCTTAATAATGGCTAGTGTTTGTCAATGATGTCTGTATTGTGTTTAGTTAGTTTCAGTACAGGAGTAAGTAGTTGTATAACATTCCGTCTGGGAGTAGGCGGCAACGTTATCACTAATTTCTGTTGTCCTTCTGAGGGGGCCGCTGAAGCACCAGCACAGCCGAAAATATCCCTATCATGTCTGACAATTCTAATTGGAAGAGTTCGGTAATGCAAGCATTACTCTCATGACTGCCTGGTGAAATATAATGATCTAACATTTGTTTCTACTAATTTGTCTTTTCATATAAAGGGAACCGAGGTCACTGGGTCAGGCCAGGCCTCCCGGCTGCATCCGTAAGTTCTTCTGCCAATACCTGTAATTTGCACTATACAGGGTGTTTCAAAAGTTCGTTCCCATTTTTTATTCGCTTAAATTTCACTAACTGTTAACAAAAAACCTTTTGTAAAACTTAGTATGTTATTCATTATTCATTTAACATTGAATAACTAAAATATTAGTAAACAGAATGTCTTCTTCTATGTTTCTGACATTTTCTAAGCAGTGAGGTATAGAATGTACGAGCTCCCAAAGCGGGTCCAAAGTCACATTCTTCCAGGCGAAACGTAGTCACTGTCTTAGCTCGTCCACTGTATTGGGGGCTGGATCTTTGTATGTTGTCTCGTCTACGATAATCCAGATGGTCTCTAGGGGTTCACATCACGTGAGTTTGCCGGCCGGTCCTCGTCTGGTATAAAGTTTGCAAATCCTTCCGACACCATGCTTGCATGACGTGTGCACCGCCTTTTGTCCTTCAAGGCTTTCCGACTTTTTTTGGTAACTTATCCCCATACCGTTGTGCTCGAAACTTTGATCGATAATGTGAAGTTGAAACTTTTCTTACTTTTCTGTTTTGTGGAATTATTACGCATATACTTACAGCATTTTCGATAATATTTCTCACACAGTTTGTGAAAAAACGGCCATCCATTCCTTAGTTTATCTTCTAAGGTCTTTACTTTTGACCACTTGTTCGGTCATCGTTCAGACTTCTTCAACAATTTGGCAATTTTTTTTGGACTGAATTGCCAGAAGACCATAAAAATAGATGCCTGAGCTCTAGCAAAAACAGTGCAGGCCTTCATTTTCATGAAGGAGTGGAGAAAATAAAAGAAAACGTTAAAAATACCAAAATAGAAAACCTACAAAGTGGGCAGGAAAAGTATGGCGGAAAAAAACTCGCGTGCGTGTACAGTTGGGGCAAAAATTAAAAAAATATATAATTTCTTCAAATTTTAGTTTGAAATTGCTTTGAACGGTTATTTAGATAAATTTCTTACCTGAAACAGTTTACATTTGCCTAAAGAAGCATTAAATGCTTGGCGCAAAATACAATTTACAATCGGAACAAACTTTTGAAACACCCTGTATATGGGTATCTTGTGTATATTTCATATCAGTGTTATTTGCTATAAGGCGTCATTATAATGTCTTCGTTTTAGGAGCGATGTTGAAAAGGCTTTCGCGTCAAGGCCCAAAATCCCTCGCACTCCTGATCCAAGACCAAGAACTGGTACCCCACCCCCACTTGGAAGATCAGCATCTCCCCCAAGACCCGCCTCAAAAGAAAGCAGGCCTGCAGGTACGTTTTGTTAGTGTGGCTTCCTCGTTGTTATCAACTTCAGAAGTTTCGGTCGGAAGGAGTTGAAAATGATGCTGAAATAAAGGATAACCATACACTGCATTCTAAACCAACTGTCGAGAAAACGTAGAATTTAGAATAATTAGTTATTTCGGGTGAAAAATACCGCATAAAAATAAAAATATGTTTACCATATACCAAAAGTTCTAGCCAACCCTGATAACAGCGAGGATCACATCTTTACTGGTTTTTATTCATTTTTGTTTATCTGAAGCTCAAATGTAATTTGCATGGTTTATTCACACTCATTGTTCATTTTGTTGTCAATTCAGGGACCTCGTCGTCAAGAAAAAGCAGTGGCTCAAAAAATCAGCAAAAGACTGGGTCAAGATAGCTATCAAGAGTCAAACATTCAAACATTAAAGGAGGCTAATGCTAATGGCTGCTGACTCACCAAAAGAAACATTTTCTGATAGTTGTAAAGAAAAAGGAAAGGCGGTTTCACGCCACAAATATTGCTCTCTGTCACCTCTGTCCAGTCACCATTATTCGCCATTATTATCAACTTGCCGGGGGCACGAAACATCTTTCTCCGTTTCATACAATTTTAGTCCTAAAGCATATTCGTTTGAGTAGACAAGAAGCCAAATAAAAGAAATACGGTATACAATAAAGTGAAAGCAGAGTTTTGGAAGTCTTCTATCAGTTTATCGATAACATTTTAACAATAAGAGGTCCTCTAGAATTTTTCTTAATTCATAAGATGTATAATTTTTTTTTATGTTCCTGCAATTGTTAACCGATTTAAGTCCCTGAATGTAGCATTTATTAATAGAGTCAACCATGTTTATTTCAGGTTAAAGCTGTAAACTTAGTTAGTTTTCTGAATTAAATCTTCAACAAACCACAACAGTAACTTGGAATTAAAAGTTACCATAGTTTACTCACGTTGACCATGTTGAAATCCTTCTGGGCCCCCGGTCTGGACCCTTCCTCTTGTGTCTTATTCATGGCAAAATAATAACGGAAATTTGTCTAATGTTTTCATATCCGCCCTGGTTTTCATTGTTACTTCGGCGGAGCGCGAAGTAAGAGATTCGGGACGCTCAGGAATTGACCTTTTTGGGCAAGATTGGGCACGCGAAATCCGTAGGATTTTCGGATTTTCGGGTTTTTGACGAAGTGAAAGCCGAATTAGTTCGAGATATCTCGAGATCACTTCGACTTCATTGATTTATTCTTTAACTTATTCGAGTGAGAAAGAATTACTATTTTGGCTTGCCCGGGGCTTGAACCGACTCACCCGTGCGACCCTTCAGATCAGAGAAGACTCTAAGTTGAGGGATTAGCCGATCGCGCCACTGCGACCTAAGGTAATTTGCCGTGAGAAATAGGCTATGAAATTATGCACCAGTATAAGACAAGATTGGGCGCGTTAGTTCGTGACTTTTCGGCTTGTTTCGGCTATTTCACGAAATGAGACCGGAATTACTTCGAGATATCTTGAGATCACTTTGAGTTTCAGTCTTGTAGTTACTCGACGAATAAATGGAGGATATTTATACGGCCGTGCAGAGACACGAAATTTCTCTTCGAGTGTTGAAAAACATTCCACGGGTGAGCGCTCTTTCGAACTGTTACATATGAAATGCATGATGGGAAGTTCGAGAAACGCCTGGTCCTTTTGTGCTCGTCGTGCAGCCCATTTACCAACCATTTACCATCATTTTGTCAGCTGCCAGGTCAGCTGCACAGCTGATTTCAGTGATATCCAACCATTCTTACACCTAGCCTGTGAACAGGCCTTTGGTCGAGCGAGGAACTAGGTCGAGCGGGGACCTTTCCCTTCCCTTCCCTTGCTATTTTTTCCCAAACAGAGAGCCTGTTCACAGGCTATCTTACACCATGTCTGTTTAGCTAGGATAGCAAGCGTTTACAAACTGTAGTTCAACTTTTGTTAAACAATGCTGGGCTGGAAAATAATGGTTTTGACAGCTGTAGCTTTTGTCTTTATTTCGATGCATGTGCTTGACAGTCGTTTGAAGTGTAACATGCCCTCCGTCATCAGTTCTCTGGTAAGTTTGATACTTTCCCAGTTTCTTCTTGAACTTGGGGGATTTCTGTTCAACACCATACACTTATAATGCATGCACCAATCTCATACTATTTCATACAGACAATTTATATCAACAGAGTTGAAAATGTATCCGTAAGAAACGTATGGGGCTGTACGTTCGGAAGTCTTACCACAGCACGAATACTTATTTGCCAGACATGTATGAAGCATTGTTAAAAATGAAAAGAATATTCGTTGTGCTTTACTAGAGAAGTGGCTTAAGAAGAAGAAAAAGAGCCTTTGTTTCATGTATTTCACCCTGCCCCTTCTTCTAGATACTAAGTTTTCACTGCGATACTTCAACGAACTGCCAACATATGCCTGGCCTTCTATGCAGCCCTTTGTGCCATCACCCAATAATCCTCCCTACAAATGGCTGCTTGAAGGGAGAAGCATTGCATGACTGCATAAAAAGCAGCTGTGTAGGAGACTAGAATATATCCAGTTTGTCTCCATTTCTATCAGACAGAACAAAAATTTGGTCGGCTGAGTCAAGAAGTTATTATAATTATGCCTATTTTTGGTAGCATGGGACTTGATGCAGAGAAACTGATTGTTACCATATACACCTGATTGAACAAATGCTTTCGCTTGAAAAGTATAAACCATGAAAGATGGGACCTAATAGAACTTCATTAGCTTTGCAAATTTAAAGTTCTTTCCAGAAAAGTTTTACATTATTGAAGCTTTTGCAATGGTATGCTTACATTTTCCCCTTTGCAGGGCATATCAGAGGTCTCTATAGTTAAAGAGCGTAGCCATATCGCTAATGCACACTTAAAAATCATAAGATAGGAGCCAAAAACATTTTTGGAAGACATAAAAAGACCCTGGCATGCCTTAAACAAAGTAATCTGGGGATTTGCATCTGTGTGAGCAGCTCGTGGCGATGTAAACGTTTGTTGAAAGAACTTTGAATTTGTCTTGCTAATGAATGTATACACATAAATCCTTGAAGTCTCCTCATCCATGGTTTATACTTTTTTAAGTGACAATGTTTTTTTCAGTCAGGTATATATTAACTGCAGCAGTGTTAGATCACATGCGCACAAGATCTCAAAGTGATAGTTCTTGATTTTAACTTTGTCTCAGGACATGGTGTCTGACCAAATCAGTCATTCCGCAATAAATAAATCAGTTTAATCATACGTTGTACATATCTCATTTAACTAGCTGATTATTTGGCAATAATTGTTATGGAATAAGGCTGGATAACAGCTTCTGAGATGTTATAATCAACACATTAATCAGGATTCTACTCAAACACTCACACTTGTGAGGTGTTTCATAAAGCTACTGCCCACAGTCTGTTATGGAGGTAATTATTACTAATTATTATCAATAAAATACTATTATT